TATAACAGGTATCAAAAAATTATGTATCTAAATATTGCTATCATTTTTATTTTACTTATATTATTATATACAAGGGTAAGTCAAAGTATTGCTACAAAATCATAAAGACCTTTATTAAAGAAAATGTGAAGCTCTTGTTTTTTGACATAGTTGCACAATATCTCCAGGTGCACCCTGGAAGGTGATCTTTCCCCGCCCAACCCTTCTCCCAAAGTATCCTGTCCTCTGATTTGCTCCCATCTGAAGGGCAGTGTAGGCATCCTCCAGGGATTCAAATCATACTCCTTTGAAATATTCTTGGACTTTGGGAAATAAAAAGAAGTCTGAAGAGGCAGGATTGGGGCTATAGGATAGATGAAGTAAGGTTTCCCAAGAAAATTCTCAGAGGATAGCCCTTGCTACCCTGGAAGAATAAGCACTGTGATGGGGATGGGGAGTGAGGAATTGGCACAGCTATCCTGGATTTTTTTTCTCACCAATGCAGTTTTAAATTTTCCTGAAAAACTTTTTTTTTTTTTTTTAGTAAGCCTCTGATTGTCCTGTGTGCTTTAAGAGAATGTAAATGGCCTTGCAGGTCCCCTTGGAAACCACTGTTTTGAGTGGCCCCTTTTTTAAAATGAGGGCTTTTTTTTTTAATGAAGCCACCCTAATGAGACGAAGACCAGTGTGCCACTGCTAGCACTTGTCTTCAACAGGCTCAGACACGCCCTGCTAGTGACAGCACCTGGAGCGCTGGCCGCAAGACTTCTTCACTTCCTGTCCCAGGTTACACTGGTGTGAAGGCACCTTTTAAACCAAATGGTTAATTTTTGTGGCCTGTTTTCCCAGGAATTACTATATGGTGTTTAAATGCTCTAAGTCACATACTTGGAAATAAATTCATATTTTTTAATGTTTATTTTGGTACAGTAGATTAACATCATTTTTAGAACAGTTGAAAGCATTCTGATTTTTTAAATCATTTTGGGGGGTCTCTTGCAGCTCTTACAACAATCCAAACAATCAGTTGTATCAAGCAAAAGTCTTCGTCTCATTAGGGTGGCTTCATTAAAAAAAAAAAGCCCTCATTTTAAAAAAGGGGCCACTCAAAACAGTGGTTTCCACTGTTTTGTACATATGTTGCCATTGTCAGTTTCAAAATATTTTCTTTCTGTTGGAGCCCTTGGTATGAGCTCCTCTTTTTTCCCTCCTTCCCCCACTCTCTTACTCTCATGGACCCCTTATAAATTATTATTATTTTCATATCTTATACCTCCCACTATCTCCCTTTGCCCATGTTACTGTTGTTCGTCCCCTTGGGGCGGGGCTGGGAATTATACATTGGTTCCAAAAGCATTCTGATTTGAATATTCACTTTTGTTTTTTATACTTTACTAGGCTTATGATAGTTCTCCACCTCAAGAGAACGTCTCAGACTGGCGAGGCGAATTTCTGATTGCCCTTCAGCAAGTTTTCTTAAAGGAGCGCAGTGTGTTACTAGCTGCATTTCAGACTGAGCTGGTGGCCCTAGGCACCAAAGATGCATTTGGCTTATTACACTGTTTGGAACAGAGAATACAAGAACAGGTATTAAAATGAAGCCTTTTTCAAAGTTACAAAGAGACTGAATTATTCATTTCAGAGATTTAAGTTCAGTGTCAACCAAACAATTTTAATAGATATCACTAAGAGTATTTAGAAGAAAACTTTTACCCAGAATGTTTTGCCTAATGTTAGAAAATAAAAAAGACTGAAAAATTAATGAGCTACTCATCCAATTTAGGAAGTTTGAAAAAAAACCAGAATGAACCTAAAAGTCAAGGAATAAAATAATAGAGAATATTTTTTGAACTACATATATTGCTACAATATAGAATATAAAAAAAAACTACTAGTTGCTTTGTGGAAAAGGCTAAAAATAATAATCACTTTTTAGGGAGGACTGATTAAGAAAAAAGAAAAAGTATGTTGTTTTGGAGGGGAAAGTCATTTTAAAATGGTATTGCAGTGAAATCTGTGGGAACTGCAACTTGTTTTCTAGGTTTTGCAAGATTCCTGCCTTTTACAGAAGACCATCTAAACACTTTTCTACTGCATTTTAGTAGGAAATGCTTCAATTCTCCTTCTCTTGACAGTTTTGTCCCTCACACAGGATTTAACTTCTACAGGTTCTACTGCATAAATAAACAGAAAATCGGGAATCCATGAGATTTGAAATTCTGGTCTACATTTTTTCTATTTTGATCAGGATTTTTTTCATAGGATAGTTGAAGTTTTTTTGTTTGTTTGGTTTTTTTTAACCGCAAGAATAAAAGCAGTAGCTTTACCGCCAGGTAGGTTTTCAGGCACCACTTTACCACTCAATCAGAGTGAATATTACCAGTAATAGTACAAGTAGACATCAGGTATATCCACATAAGGATGGGTGGTGAACGACCTTTTGTGGTAGTGGTGGTCATTAAGTCCTGTTGAGCCTATTCCTGCTTGTTCTGACCCTTTACACAGCAGAACAGACCACTGCTTGGGCCGGCACCCTTCCACTGTGTCCTATGCTTCCCAGTGTTGCAGTCACTTTCTCAGTCCACCTCATTTAGGGTCCTCTTTTTTTTTGACCCTTTACACAGTTTCTCCTACTATGGGTCTGATCCCTCCCGGTAACATGTTACAAGTACCATCTTCATTTCTAAGGCACATTTTGCCTGCATGTCTTCCAACACAGATTTGTTTGTTTTTCTGACAACCTGTGATATAATTAATTCATATTCTTTGCCAATACCACCATTCAGAGGCACCAGTTCTTCCTGGGCATCCTCATTCCTCGTCCAGATTTTGCACACATCGGCATCATTGGCAATACCATGGCTTGGATCAGACACACCTTAATTGCAGTACAGTAACATCTCTGGTTTTATATAATTCAGAGAATTATTTTGAAGCAGATCTGTCCAGTGTAATATGCTGTTTGATTGCTTGACTGCTGCTTCCATGGCCATTGGTTGTGGACCCAAGTAAAAAGTAATCCTTGACGTCAACCTTTTCTCAGTATACCATGAAGATGCTTAGTGGTCCATGTGTAAAGACTTTTTGTTTCCTTTGTTTGGGTGGACTCTGTGTTGAAAGTTGTCATCTTTCATCTTCACCAGGAAGTGCTTCAAGCCCTTTTCAGGCAAGCCGCATTATGTCATCTGCAAATCACAGATCATTAATTCAGTAGTCTTCCTCCAGTCCTAATGCCACATTCCTCTTCATAGAGTCCAACTTCTCAGATTATTTGCCTGGTGTGGTACATCTGTTAGAAATGACTAACTCAAGAGCTAATCATGGGAAATCACAGGCTGAAAACAATAGCTAAAGCCACTCACTACCTATCGTAAAGGCCAAAATTAAAAAATAGTAACCACACTGGTTGCTGGAGAAGATAGACAGTGCTTCTTTCTTGCAATCCTAGTAGACATATAGAATGGTAGAGTCACTCTGAGAAATAACCCAGAAATTTTTTTATAAAATTAAAGATACACTTAAGTATTTGACCTAACAATTAGATACATAAGTATGTAGTCAGACAAATGAAAATATTTGTCTCCATAAAAACATAAACATGAGTGTCAGTGGAAAAATAGATGATATGAACACATCTTCATAGATAACACACATGATGAGATGCTCAGATAGGATGTAGTTGTGTTTTGTGAGTCATACAGTGGATTATTTGAGAGCAGCGCATGAGCTCTGCATGTGCCATTGGGAGGGCTCACCACACTAAGTGACAGAGGCAAATTGCACTAGAACAGATCCAGTTTGGTGCCTTCTATCTAATCTTAGCATGCAGAACTGTGTTGTTGTATCTTGCTTCAGGTTAGAGTGGGTCTGTGTTTCTAAGGTGTGCGCCGAGGCAGGAAGATGACAAGCAGCAGATGGAGGATGTGGTCAACTCCTGGTGCAGAGGAAAGTGTGTCCAGAGAGCTGCACACACTGGGCTTTAGCTCTATAAGTGCCATTCCTTAGGCTAGGTACCTGGCTGCTTATTATATTATTCTTCAGGTTTTACTATATGTTCAAAATAAATGTGAGTATTTTTAACTGAAAAGTAAATCCTAATGAACAGAAAGAAAAATAATAACTTGGTTCCAATAGTAACTTGGTGAAAATCCTTTTAGCGTGTACGAATGAGGGAGACTTCAAAAAGCTGGTGGAAGATCGAATGAAAAGACCATGGAATTTTCCCAGGAACTTTTTGGTTGTTACTTTTATTGTCTTTATAATTCCCTATATTTGGTTTTTTAACTTCGCTTTCTAACAGAGCCTTGAATATCGAGCAGCGATGGAATGTCTCCAGAAAGCAGATAGAAGGAGTTTGTTATCAGAAATTCATGCACTGCATGCTCAGATGATTGACAGGACAATGAGTATGAAGAGAGAGCAAGAAGGGGACCCATCAAGCCAAGGTGTGTTGCAGGAGTGTCTTCTGTGGCTGCATAGGGCGGAACGTATTTTCTCCTGGGATTACTTTATTATTATTACTCTGTTAGCACACTGCCACTGATTCATGTTTTCTCATTGTCACAACCTTAAGGAGATAATAGTCTATGTGACTTAAAAGATTGTCTACTTGGGTTTCAATGGCTATCTAATTGGGCTGTCGTGTCCATTGTCATTGTTTTGAAGCTCTGTGTTAAGAATATTCTGAACATTCTTTACAAAAGAAAAAAAATCCACAAACTGTTTTTAAATCCCTATACAACACACTGATGTACAGTGTGCACATGGTTGACACGACGTGTTTGTTCCAGTCTTTTGCCCACTTTCCAATAGCACTGTCAGTGTTTAAACTGAGCCACAGGTGGAAGTAGAGGAGCTATGTCTCTGTGCCTTCAGATGTATCTAAGCACATAGAAACATCCATGCTGGTGCAAACTTTGAAAGTTACTGTTTAGTCTCACACTTGCCATTTGAAAATCTGAAGCAGATTAAACTTATTCTAGGAAAAAAATACAAATACAAAGAGATTAATGAATCCTTATATTGAAGACATAGGCTTTATTAAAGACATAGGTTTTATGGGTAAATAATTCATATTAATTAAGTTAAAATAGAACCCCATTGAAAACTTCATTAATATCATAGATTCATATTTATTAATGTAAAATTTCAGCCTCTTTTCCCTAAAAATTTGTTTTAAAAGCCAAAATTAACATACCTGTCTTCAAAGATGTGGTTATTCCTGTATCTTAACATCAATTAGTAAATATACAGGGGATCTACTCTGATAGAACTATTTTTAATTTAAAGAAACTTGTTCTCCCTATACAGTAGCATGATCCGTTTATGGTGGAATAGAGGATCAAAAGACTAGGGTAAAAATTTCTCATCACTCCATAATCCGGAAACAATGGTTACTAACCCCTAGGTAAATATGTCTTCATGTCTTCAATTTCAGGTGTGCCTAAGTTCAGATTTTTACAAATAATGGGATTGTGATGCATCTTTTGAAGCATCATCCTTCATATGCTCAGGAATTTCAGTCTTCCATTGGTTCTCATTATGTAAGAGGCAGGGTTTCTTTGGTTTGTGAAGGAAGGACTGTGATTCAGCCTCGAGTGTGGACCTCTCCTTTGTGGAGACAGAGTGATGGTAAAGTTTCTGGAGACCCTTTGCAAAGGGGTAGGCGGCTGACAGAGGAGTGCTGATCGTTTTCATGTTGGTGACAAGGCTGGCTAGCTGGTGCAGGTAACCTGCGCGGCTCTCGGAAGTGGAAGTCACCAGAATGGTTTCAGTGTGCCCTTTTGAAATTCTGAATAAATCAATACTAATCCCTAATCATATTATTGAGTGAACTTTCAGAGATTTTCTTTTTACACATGTTAGGCCTTGTGCATTACTGTATCTTAAGTTTCATCATCCTTATATAAATATATGTATGGTTTTGAAATTTTCCCAGTATGAGGAAGCTGCATAAATGAGATATATTTATGTAATACCTCTTTTTTGTTGTTTTTTTTGTAATACTAATTTTTCTTTTTACTCCCTGTTGCTTTGATTTATATTTCTGTAACATGTTTTTTATAGAACATCACCAATCTGTTCACACTTGCTTTATGTTAATCTCATTCTAAATGACAAATTCTTACTAACAAAATATTTACAAGCTGGATCAAATTTTGAGTATTAATAATGCTTCCTTTAGAACTTCTGGAATTGAATGTGCAGCAGAAGCAGTCTCAGATGCTGGACATGCAAGTGGAACTCCGCGGTGTGAGGGACAGAGCAGCAGAACTCCAGGAGCAGCTGAGTTCCGAAAAGATGGCGGTTGCTGAGCTAAAGAATGAACTCGCACAAACTCAACTGGAGCTTGAAACAACACTCAAGGCGCAGCACAAGCGCTTAAAGGAATTGGAGGCACTCAGGTACGGCGAGCGGCTGCCCCGTCATAACTGTCTGCGGAGGACAGAACCGTCACAATGTAAAGAGGCGTCAAAACATGCATGGAAAAAAATCCATTACCTTTTAACTTAATTTTTCCATGCACTTTTTGAAACTATGTAGACAAAAAGTACAGTGGAGAGAAAAAAGGTAATGCAGGATATTAGAGGGAAAAAAGACTCAAGGATCACTCCAAATATTTCCTTACTGCTTTTGTCCAAATAACTCGCGATTAGGCCTGTTCTTTTTTGTGGCTCCAGTTCTACTTGAGATTTGTTGTAAAATTTTATTTGACCACCAAATAGGAATGTGAAATGATCGATGTGATCTCAATACGATTTAGGATTCACCTAGTGAAATGTGCATCCCTGGTGCTTAAAGGAGAGCATGCTTGTACACGAAGTTTGTTGGTGTCGGTTTCTGAATGTGCCTATTTGCCAGTCACATGCTAAGTGCAGTCACTATTTAACTTGAATACACACAGTGTTGTTTTTAGCAGTTGACTTATAATGTACTGCAGTATAAACTTCAAAGTGTGTTGGACTTTCCCTCCCTGTTCTCCTCTTCGAGGCAGTAACAAGAGATCTCCTCAGATCTCAGCAGCTATTCAAAAGTCAGTATTCAAACACAGAAAGCTTCAGAAAATGTCTGTGAAATCTCGTTACTATTCATGGCCGAATGAATTTCTTGAAGCTCTTGTAACGGCTGTAATGTCCACATTGACGGTCGGCGAAGGAAAAGTCTGAGGAAGTCTGAAGGAGTGTGTCAGTATAGGGACTGTATCTCACGTCTATGAATCTCAGCACCTTATGAAGAAGCTTCTGGGAAAAAGGAATGGAACAGGAAAGCCTCGCTAATGTTTTCTTCCGTAATCCTTTCCTTTAAAAGAATCCAGTACAGAACTGTAAAAACATCTTTATGATCTGACGTTGGAACATTAGCACACAGTGTTTTATACACACATGGTGCTTCCCATGATTGATGTAAACGATTAGGGGAAATTTTTAGTTTGTTCTCAGAATTGCTTGCATTGGTAAATAATAGCTTTACTACTCAAAACAATTCGTTTGAAATAAGCCGTAGTCAACAATCTCTATGTTCGCCCTGTTTCATTTTATTACAACATGCCTTGGTTGGGGGTGGGGGTGAGGGGTGGCACCTTTTCAATGGAAGCTGGGCCTCTTTTTCCTCTTACCCGGTGGCCTCGCTGGTGACCCAGTGGGCTGCTTCATGCAGGTCAGCAGTTTGAGCTCACCAGCCTCAGAGAAAGAAGCCCTAGGGAGCAGTTCTACTCTGCTTTGAGGTCAGTAAGAGCTGGACTGAACTTCATGGCAGTTTCTTGGGGTTTGGGGCTTAGTCTATACTTAGTCAAAATCGTTTGATGGAAAGTTCATTTATCTCTCTAATTTAGGTTGGAAGTTAAAGAAAAAACAGATGAAGTGCACTTGCTTAATGATACATTAGCAAGTGAACAGAAAAAATCCAGAGAGCTGCAGTGGGCTCTGGAGAAAGAGAGAGCCAAATTAGGACGCAGTGAAGAACGGGAGAAGGAAGAACTTGAGGTAGTATTATCTTTATCTTTAAATGGTCCCAGAAAACCCGAAAAGAAGAGAGAGTCTTGGAACAGCCTTCTTTTTAAAATGTCAGCCTTGGACTTTTAAAGAAGTATCTGTTTGGCTCAATGAGTACTATTGCAAAGGTTACCTAAAATGGCCTGGCTAATAGTGTGATTGCTCTGCTACATCCAGGGTGCTGCAGATGTTCTGCAAGCCCGTATATGTGTTTGTGGGGCACGTTGGTTTAGAAGAGACTTGGTTAGGAGGGAAATTGTGTCCGTTTAATGGAGGAGTGGTGGCAGTTTCTGTCATTGTTTCTCCTGTGTCCAGGAAGCAGGCAAAGCTGGAGTAGAGCTACTCAACTTGTGCTAGCCGGGACCTTTTCTGGCAACAGGAACTCTTGTTGCCATATATTTTCAAAGGAATCCCTTCAGTCTAGGCACTGTCCTGGAGAGCCATACGCCTGCTGGGCTCAGCTCTCAGCGCAAGGCAGTTGATACTACGAGCTCCGCTTCCTTCACGTCATCCCACCAGCCCCATAAAGAAAAGTATTGCCAGCATTTCGGCTCTGTTGCATACAGTTTTGTTTTGTTTTATTTCCACATTCACTGTAATAGCCTTCAAGTATAATGAGCTATTTATGTTATCTGGCCAAGTCTGACTTTTTTACTTTTTTTTTTTTTTCACCACACCCCTCCCCCGCCTCAAACCGGCCCCTGCTTTTTTTACTTTTTAATGATTACAAATTTTCCTAAATTTTAAGTACTTTCTCCACAGCTTTGTTTTCTCCATAAGTCTTCATACTTTTAGCATGTGATATTTTTCAGGAATTCATGTCACTTTATGTTAGAAGCCGGAACCCTGGTGTCATAGTGGTTACACATTGAGCTGCTAACTGCAAGGTCAATGGTTCAAAACTACCAGCCACTCCTTGGTAGAAATATGAGGCTTGCTACTCTCATAAAGTTACGGGAATCTTGGAAATTCACAGAGGCTGTTCTTCTAGGTCCTAAAGGGTCACTATGAGTCAGCAGCGACTCAATGGCAATGAGTTTGGTTTATTGGGGGGACGGGGGTTGGTTTGCTATGTCAAAAACACATTTTAAAACATTATTGTTCTTAATGAAACTAGACCTTGCTTCTTGTTCCTTCACCAGGTATAAGCTTAATGTTTCGAGAAAGGATGATTGTATAGCTTCCTTGATGAAAATCAATATTTAGACTGTCCCCATCACTTTTCTGTCACCACTGAATGTAGGCTGATAAGCGGGATAATCAAGTTGTATCGTCTAGTGTCAAATATTACTTATTCATATTCATAAAAATTCAATCATATACTTCTAAAATAATTTTGTAATATGAACACATTCGTACATTTTGTTTTCTCCTATAAGGATCTCAGATTTTCACTTGAGGGTCAGAAACAAAAGACTGTTCAGCTAAATCTACTTTTAGAACAACAGAAACAACTGCTAAATGAATCACAGCAGAAAATAGAGTCACAAAAGTTGCTGTATGACACCCAGCTATCAGAAGAACAAGGTCGAAACTTAGAGCTTCAAGTACTTCTTGAATCTGAGAAAGTTCGAATTCAGGAAATGAGAAGTACCTTGGACAGAGAACGGGATTTGCATGCCCAGCTACAGATCAACAGTGAGAGCGGGCAGCCTCGGCCCGCTGTTCCCTCTGAGGACCTACTGAAAGAGCTACAGAAAGAGCTAGAAGAGAAGCACAGGCGGATAGTGGAACTGTTAAGTGAGACTGAGAAATACAAGCTGGACTCTCTGCACACAAGGCAGCAAATGGAAAAGGATAGGCAGGTTCATCGAAAGACTCTACAAACCGAGCAAGAGGCCAACACTGAGGGACAGAGAAAAATGCATGAGCTCCAGTGCAAAGTGGAAGACCTTCAGCGGCAGCTGGAGGAGAAACGGCAGCAAGTTTATAAGTTAGGCCTGGAAGGACAGCGGCTGCAAGGGGTCATGCAGGACTTCCAGAAGCAAGAACTAGGGCGAGAAGAAAAGCGAGAGAGTAGAAGAATTGTCTATCAGAATCTTAATGAGGTAGGTACATGAACATTTTGTTTCCTTGTTTGTGTTTTCTATTGTAGCCCATTGGTCATAAAGTTTTGATAGTGGTTAAATAGCTACGAAAGCTACGTCAAAATTATTTACAAATAAGATCTATGAAAGTTCATTTGAATGTGAATAATAATTGTTTCTCTAAGAAAGAATGTGTGCTGGGCTTTTTGCTTATACTTCCTGTCCTTTTCCCTTTCCGTCCAAAATTACCAGCCACCCACATGGAGTATGACCAGTGATCGAACGAGAAATTGGGTTCTTCAGCAGAAAATAGAAGGAGAGACGAAACAATCAGGTTATCCTAACCTGATTGAAATGAACGGAGGAGGAATTGGCTGTAATTATGAATTAGAAATGATCAGACAAAAGCTTCAATGTATGGTGTCAAAATTACAACATCTGGCTCAGAAAGCTTCTAGCAGGTTCGTCCTCTCTGTCTGACCTTTGGAAATAGCTTTCTTAGATAGGCTGGACAGAATCCATTACTATCCCTTGCTGTTAGATAGTCACGTGAGAAGCTGACATCTTCGAGTTAAGGAGTGAATGCTCACATTGGGAGATGATTTTCACTCGGAGCCCTGAAAACAGATGTCTTAATACTTAGTGTCCAAGAAGACCCCCTTTGGTGTGAGGCAGAAGTGGCAGGTGTTCGAGGCTGTTGCCTGACCTGTAATCCCTGGGCTAGGAAACATATCCAATTGAGAAAGTGTGTTTTGACTCTGTGTCTGTTTCTTTAAGACTACAGTTTGAAACAGCAGATGATGAAGATTTCATTTGGCTTCTGGGAAACATCGACGGAGTTATTTTGCAACTACAGAAATTAATTGACCAGCCAGCCGAAGAGGTAGAATTTTCTTTAAGCTCATTCCAAAATATTGAATGCAGAGGTTTAACAGAAACTATATGGATCATTTGAACCTGGCAGCATATTTTCCAGAAAGTTTCATTTTTCATCTTTTAATTTAAATATTACTATCAATGTTCCTCCTCCAATGGGAGATAGTGAACTAGGGGAGTGGGGTGAAATGAACTTCCATTATCATGATTGTATCATTACATTGATCTTTTGTGGCGTTGTGTTATTTTGAGACCAACTCCTTGAGAGTTTAGCTTATACCACTGCTGTCAGCCACTCACCTCCCAGCCTCCCTCCCTCCCTCACCATTCTATGAACCCTTACACACACACACCCAGAATGTTCCCCGGGCCTCACGACTGACTCATCGGATGGACCTCTTCCTTCCCTGTCTTTCTCGTGTCTTTAGTGGAGGGGGTGGTGGTGCAGAACCCGGCTTGTAATTCTGAACCTAGCCTGAAATGAGGGCAAGGGGGCAGATTTAAAGCCTGGGGTTAGAAGAGGCCAGAGGTCCGAATGGGCGAGTCCTTGTCTTTCTCGACTTTAATATATTGACACCTTTGATCTTGTCCTTAAACTCTCTTCATCCTTGCTCTTTGTGTCCATAGTCTCTCATTTACCTCATCTCTTCTCTCGTGGCTGTCTCATGCTCCCTCCTCTTGTGCCCTCATCCATCCTTTTCTCTAACTTCCACCCACTCTGAAGGCTTATCCATCCCGACAAGTGAAGTTCTCATTAAGATTATTTACTGAAGAAGGACATCTATTGAGCACCTACTATGTACCAGGTACTATGCTAGGTTCGGGGATATAATGACCACAACTGATTTAAAAGAAAAGCAAAACTCATGAATGCTTACCTGCAAATAGACTGTGATTCCAGTCTAAACTTTTCTCTTGGAAGCCAGGCTTATATTTTCAGTTAGCCCCCAGGCACCTTTCCCTGGGGAGTTGTCCCCAAAGGGCCTTAAAGGGACCTCACAGGAATGTTCCAAATTGTACATCATCGCCTCATTCTTCCTGCCCTGTCCATGGTGTCTCCAGGCTAGAAGACTAGAGAGCATCACAGTCTGTCTTCCTTCACCCCTAAGAAGTCACCACTCAGTTCTGTGCCGTCTGCCCTGTCGTCTACAACCCTCAGTCATTACCTTCCTCCTGCCTTCCGCATTTCTCATCTGCATGTGTCCCAGCTCACTCTACAGTACTGCTGCCAGAATATTCTGAAACACATACGGGGTGTTTGTCCTGGGCCCCTGCCAAAAGCCCTCATGACTCCCTAGTGCCTACACTTATTTCTGTTATCCAGAGAGTGAAGGCAGCCTCTTCTCGGGCCCTAGCAAGCGACTTCTTCTTTTCCCTAAAAGTAACACATTCCTAATCAAGCCTTTGTGCCATAAACCTGCTCTGCCTTTGGCTTACTCTGCGCCTCCTAGCTTCTCTCTTTCTGGGGAATGCCGCTTATTAAGAGTCACCGCAAGCGTCACTCTTGGTAGAATCTGTTGTTCTCAGTGACCACATTGTGTACGCACTATTCACACGTGTGCTTATTTGACATCACCTGTCTTTTCTTTTCTAGCCCAGTTTAGTTTCCCCAAACACTGCCTGTGGCTCATTGACCGAAGGACTCCTGCGACAGAATGCTGAGCTGACAGGACACATCAGGCAGCTGACCGAAGAAAAGAATGATTTAAGGAACATGCTGATGAAGCTGGAAGAGCAGCTCAAGTGGTATCGACAGACAGGACCTGGTAGAGGTTATGTACGTCTGTTTAGATCATGTCCACATTTTAGAAGTGCAGTTATTTCTGCTACCGTATTTTAATGATTAACCTTGACAATGTGGAAAATATCAAGAATGTCTGTGGACATTCTTTTAGAAAGACAATAATAAAATTAACAGTTAGTACTTACTGGGAGCCTTTGCCATGGCATAGTAGCTACTCGTTGGGTAGCTAACCTCAAGGTCTGCAGATCAAAACCACCTGCTGCTCCCAGGGAGACAGAGGTGGCTTTCTGTTCCTGTAAAGAGTCAGTGTCAGAAATTCACAGAGGCAGTTCCACTCTGTCCTGTCAGGTCACTGTGAACTGGAATCGACTAAATTGCAGTGAGATGGGTTGTTTTGTTTTGTTTTGTTTCTGTGTCGGACTCTGGGTTATCTATTTGCAGAATAGCTAGTCTGTGCCCAGCCTTACACACGAGAAAATTGAACTCAAGTCAGAAATCAAACTAAATTCAGTTTGTCTCTCAGTCCAGGTACTGTGCTGCTAAAGGTGGTCTGACAGCAGACGTGTACAGAATACTCAGTGTGAAGCCGTACAGATGTTCAGATTGGAGTCCGGACTTTTCCATTCAGTTAATTTTTCACTCGTGGAAAATGCTCTAATTTATGTATTTCACTCTAGTAAACTATTCTGGTATTTATTTTTATATGGGGGAAAAATAGAAAAGCCTGTAAAATAAAGTGCTAGCTTCTACAAGCACCCAGTCTGAAGACAGACCTGGTAAGCCCACCGTACAGTCAGAAACGACCGGGCAGCCTCCGTGCTGATCCACACACTGCGGTGGCTTTGCTGCACTCCTCTAGTGCACGCTTTCAGGGACAGGTGCACCGTGTGGACCTGGGTGGTCCGCCTGTTCACTCTTCCTTTTTGTTCAAACCTCGGGCAGGACTCAATACAGCTCCTCCACTGGGAGGCGGGCTTTCATGGGTCTCTACAACTCATCTGCTTGGCAGAGGCCCTGGTCCTTAGTTTTCCGTTAGTGTCAGCTGATGAAGAGCGTTACTTTCTCTGAGGTCAAAGGCTAAGATTTGTGAATCCACCATAGAAATACTTAAAATGTATTTCACTTAGAGCCCCCCCCCCCCCATATACACACAAAAAGAGTTATTCTTAAAAACCACACAAACAAGACTCTGGTCTCTGCAGTCAGCCAGGTTCTCCTACGGTGGTGCTGCCAACATCGATGCTGTAATTGCTTCCGAAAAAGAAATCTGGACTAGAGAAAAGTTGGCTCTCCAGAAATCCTTGAAAAGGGCAGAAGCTGAAGTCTACAAACTGAAAGCTGAACTGAGAAATGAAGCTTTACTTCAAAATCTGAGCCCTGATTCTGAGCATGCCACTTTAAAGGTAAGAGGGGCCTTCCACTTAAACCCGCTTACCAGTTGGTCCTCTGTTTTCATTCCCTTGTCTCATGTCTCCTGGGCCTCGTTGACAGCCTCGTGCTCACGCTGTCACTAGTCTCTCCATTCAGCCTGGGTCGTGAGTGCAGGCTGTTAGCTGGTCACAAAAGATTTACAGACGGGGTTTACAAGGTTGATTTCTGCTACTGTTCCCAGTGGCAGCACTGGGAGCCCACAGACTCATCTGCCAACAATTTACCTGTTCATTTCCCCTGGTAAAAGAACCATCCAGGTTTGAAAGGCAGTGTTCAGACCGCTGAATAGCCTCTCTGCACAGACTTTAATACTGAATACTGTAGTAAAAATACCTTCAATAACACAAATCCAAACCAAAAAGAAAGAAGAATGCTTACGATATTTATTCCAACTATGATGTCAGCCTAAGTTTATGACTGATACAGGGAGAAAACGCATTCACATTAAAGAAGTTGCACACATCACATAATAAAATAGCTCTGTCCAATCGGGGAGGCGGTGGTGATTCATGAAAATTGTATGGCAAAAAAGATATTTATAAATCTGATGGCTAGAAGCTAAAATTCTAAATAAAAAGCAAAACTAAAACTATGTGATTAGCATCAGACCCCACTAACTAACTAAAAATGAGCAAGAGAAAAAGTTTAAAATGGATCTTTACTTTCAGCTGGATCAAAAGGTAGTGTGCCTGCCATCCTTCCCTTCCCCTCCTCCTCCTTCACATCTGGGTTCCCTTTCCCCTTTGGAGCTGAAGTAACTCTGCTGTCAGGACTGAGCACAGCTCCTGGGCCAGCCTCGTCATGGAGGTGTCCCTGTGGCTCTCTGTCCCGGATTCTGTGCTCACTTGCTGCTGAAGCAGACAAGTGGAGCTCTTGCTATAGCGTTTGCTTTCATCCACATGGCAGTGTTTCCCAAGTAGTCTAGCTTCAGGATAGATCTCCTCCAGGCCTCAGACTGGGATACCCAGTGCCTCCTTGCTGACCCCCTGGGCTGTCCCACTGCATTCCAAATGGAGCATGTTCACAGTGGAACTCTGCATCTGGACCCAGACAGACATGGTTTTCCCCAATTTCCTTATCTCAGTTTGTTCACTTTGAAAATGAAAAGAGAGGCAGCACCCTTCACTGTACCTTCTCCCGCCCCCTATAGCCAGTGGGAGTTGGTCGCTTCTGAGACGGTGGAGCCTTAAACAACTGTTTACCTTAGAGGTTTCTAGTTTCTATCCAGGAGTAGCTGTGGACTTGTTGGACTACTCCGATTTTCAGATTTTCAAGGTGGCTCCAGGGACTCAGGACCACTGTCAGGTGCGTGTAGCGAGATAGGTGGTCACCGTGGCTGTTGCGTGCCGGGTCGCTATGATTCAGAAGTGACTGGACAGCACCCAGCAGCAACAAGAATAGGCAGTTCATAAATCATATCGAGCCTCCCAGTGGCCGCGTTTGGAAATGTGGATTGAATTGACACAGTTCCCTGTTGCTTCCTACTTCCCTCTTCCACTCTACTTCGTTTTGCCACTTGGATGACCAAGAACACATCTGTTTGCGGCCCCAGTTTGCATTTGGAGAGAAGCCTGGGTGCTACCCCTGCTGACCCAAACCTTAACAGCAGTCCTTCTGCTGCGGAGGGGGATACTCACCATGCTGCCCGGGGCAGATGGAAATCAGGGTTTCGTTCCATATTGCATCTCTAGGAGCCCTGGTGACCCTGTGGGTGCTTGTTGGACAGCTAGCCATCAGGTCAGTGGTTCAAACACACCAGCCGTTTCACAGACTGTATACAGATGGGGCTATTTGGCCCCGTAAAGATTGACTGTCTTTAAAGACCATTTAAATGGGAAAACCTGAACGATGCGGCTTTCACTCGGTAAGAATTACTTTTCGAATTAATCGAAGATTTTGTAGGTGATAGTTTGGTAGTAGCCATTATAGTATAAACAGCTAAACTGTATGTCTGTGCTTACATAAAACAACTCTTCCAGAACCTTAGTTATCAAGAGAGAAGGGAACTTCCTTTTCTCTTAGAGATGAAAGGCAGTCTCCCAAGACCCACTGGGCAAACTGCTGGACATTCTAGTTATCTTGCCAGGCCACAAACGCACATCACTTATTTTCTGGATCCCGAGAAAATGATTTGAATAACTTCTTAATAATGTCCTTCTGTCGGTGCTCCCTTTTAAACAGAGAGTGTATGGTAAGTACCTGAGAGCAGAAAGCTTCCGGAAAGCGCTGATCTATCAGAAGAAGTACCTGTTGCTCTTACTGGGAGGCTTCCAGGAATGTGAAGACGCCACCCTGGCCCTGCTCGCCCGCATGGGAGGGCGGCCAGCCTTCACGGATCTACAGGTGATCACCAACCGCCCCAAGGGCTTCACCAGGTTCCGGTCCGCGGTCCGGGTGTCCATGGCCATATCGAGGTAACTTACTGGAAAGAGAACACTTTCTAAGGGATTCTCGGAAGTATTTGGTGGGGTGGGTAGTGGTGGTAGAGTCCTCTCCCTGCCTGTGAGGCATCCCCTGAGGGAAGAACCTTCATTCTAATCTTCCAGGGATGGTTGCTTGAATTTTCTCTTCTCCTTGGTGCTACTCTGGCGCTCGCAAGCCTCTTCAGATCCACTGCCGATCGACCAGTCGGTTCCTCGTGGGAGGAGAGCTGCTGCTTCTCCTTTGGGACACTCTTGCCCTGAACTGCCTCATCAGGATCACTTAGCTGGTTCATCTCTGAGGGGAGGCTTCAGGCTCTTGGGTTTTTGCTTTTTAAAGTTTTTCCTGGCAGGTCACATTGAACACATCTTCAAGGAACTTTTTTTGAAAAATACATTTTCCTTTGAAAGCTAAGACAGCAGTTTCTTATAAGAAACTGAATAAGAAAGTTGAGGCGCAGGGCATGTTTCCCAAACGTTCGGTGGCCCTCGTCTCGCCCTGGGCCTCCTAGCCCCAGCCATGCGGCCCCAGCCAGAACTCAGGCGTTTTCGCCTCCTTGGTGCTGGGCGGACTGTCCCTCCTTGCTTCCGCTGCTCCCATCTGTGGTCCTGGGCTCCATTTACCCTTCCTTTGAGTGCTGGAGAGTCACTGTGGGAAAAGGAACGATCCTTGCCTTTAAGGCAGCCTAGTTGCTTGTTGGGAAGATGGGAAGAGCACTCATATCCTCACCCCACCCTCCAAAAACAACAACACTGTCATGGAGTCAGTTCTGATTCATAATAGCCCTGACATGGTTTCCAATACCGTAAGTCTTGACCGGAGCGGACAGCGTCATTGTTCTCACACAACATGATGCATACAGCTTTTTTGTTTTCTCAGTCATTTTATTGGGGGCTCATACAACTCTTATCACAATCCATCCATACATCAATTGTGTCAAGCACATTTGTACATTTATTACCCTCATCATTCCCGAAACATTTGCTTTCTACTTGAGCCCTTGGTATCAGCTCATTCCCCCCCCCCCCATGAACCCTTGATAAAATTATTTTGTCATATCTTACACTGTCCGATGTCTCCCTTCGCCCACTCTTCTGTTGTCTGTCCCTCAGGGAGGAGGTTATATGTAGATCCTTGTAATCAGTTCCCCCTTTCTACCCCACCTTCCCTCCACCCTCTGGGATCGCCACTGTCACCACTGGTCCTGAAGGGGTCATCTGTCTTGGATTCCCTGTGTTTCCAGTTCCTATCTGTACCAGTGTACTTCCTCTGGTCTCTTCAGATTTGTAAGGTAGAATTGGGATCATGACAGTGGGGCGAGGAAGCATTTAAGACCTAGAGGAAAGTTGTATGTTTCATAGTTGCTACACTGCACCCTGACTGGCTCGTCTCTTCCCTGCGACCCTTCTGTAAGGGGATGTCCAGTTTCCCACAGATGGGCTTTGGGTCCCCACTCTGAACTCCCCCTCATTCGCAATGATATGATTTTTTTGTTCTTTGATGCCTGATACCTGTTCCCTTCGGCAGCTCATGATCACACAGGCTGGTGTGCTTCTTCCATGTGGGCTTTGTTGCTTCTGAGCTAGATGGCCACTTGTTTACCTTCAAGCTTTTAAGATCCCAAAGGCTTTATTTTTTGATAGCCAGGCACCATCAGCTTTCTTCACTACATTTGCTTATGCACACACAGCTTTTAAGAAAAGGAGAGCTACTGCCTCCTTTTCTTGTTGATTCTTGTCCACAGCAGCCCTGTAAGACAGCGTAGAACTGCGCCCGGGCTGCCTGGCAGTCTGGACGCTGCCACAGGTTACCCTGTCTCCCCAGAAGCAGCTGCTGTTTGTGCCCACGCGCCTCCAGGGCTCCCTGTGCACATAACTTCGATGATCAAGCGGGGGCAGTCCCAGCAAGTTGCCAGTGACTTTGACTAGAGGAATTTGGAAACGATCCATCAATGCCATAGAAGTTACCTTTGAAAGACTTTTTTTTAAATAACTTTATTGGGGGCGATTACAACAACCTATCCATCAGTTGTATCAGTTAGCTCCTTCTCGGCACCTGCAGGTCTTTCAATTCTGTGCCCACCGTCGCCCTGCGTGCTTCATTCCCAGCCTCGCTGCTGCCCTTCTCCCGCGTCCCATCAGCCTGGAGCCAACGCCTGGCTGGACAGCCCTGGAGACCTCTGGGGCCACTAAGGGTGGGAGGGGGTCTGCAGCACTGTCCAACTGAATTTTCCCACAAACGAGGGTGTTTACATAGTTTTATGTTGGGTGTTCCTGAGTGTTCTGGAATTCTGTACTCATGTAAATGTATGGCATTGTTGACGTCTGGTGACATTTTATCTTGGGCTCTCTTTTAGAATGAAGTTTCTGGTTCGAAGATGGCACCGCGTCACAGGTTCTGGTCCCATCAATATTAATAGGGATGGCTTTGGACTGAATCCAGGTGAAGTCGTAACTTCAGCTTTCCCACATTTCTGATTCTCTGAGTTCTGTAGGTGTGGTGCTGATCCAAGTAACAAATTCTAGACCCAGTGGGCCCCACGACAGATTCCTCCCTTCTAACAATTCTGAGAGCTTTGCAGTTCCAAAGTATTAACTGACCTTTATGGAACATGGACTCAGTGCAGGTCCTGCTCGCTTCGTGTAGAAGGGGGCTTCAGAAAGTTCATAGAAAAAAATCCATTATCGTTCAGTTCCTTTTGTCTACAAACTTTCTGAAGCCCCCTCATATTGTCATGTGTTCTTCCAATCCTGTGATGCAGTTGCAGTTACGATTACTCTTTCCACCGAAGCATAGAAAGCCAAGGCTATTTGTCACAGGGTACCCTGTAGAGAGGTGGCGGTGCCAGGATCAAGCCCTGGCAGTGTAGCTCCAGAGTGAACCCCCTCCGTATGCCTGCATGTAAGAGCTCCACAGAGGACCACAGTGCCCGCCTTATGTGGAGGAGTTCTAGTTGGGGGCAAGACTTCATAGTATTTCAATAGATTTCTGAGTTGGCCAATGGGCTGCCTATTAATGGTAGCAGTTGAAAGCCCTTCTGTCCACACCTACCTACCTTTATTAGAAATGAGAATAAGTGAGCATTTAAGGCTTGAACATTTCAGGCATAAAGAGGAGGCCAGAGGCAGGGAGCTGAGTTAAGGCGGCTTGGCTGTGCTATGAACTGGTATTAAATGGCCTGCACAGACCCTTCCAGGAGCTGAGCTGCAGACACCGGGAGTTAACCAGGTGCCCTAAGCAGTTAGGCTTTTGAAAGACGCATCCTGACTCCGTAGTTGGACCACAGTGCGCAGTAACAGCTGGAGGGGAGCTCTGTGTTGTAGTCAGACGAGCAAATCTTGATTCTAAGGGTTTTTTCCTGACAAAAGTAAAATGATCAAAGTGACTTTGATTGCATTATCTATTTTTTTTAAATCCACACTATCATTTCCTCCCAAATTACTTCACCTCTCATCTATGATAACTAAAGTCTTTTAAAGAGAAAAGAGCCTAATCATCTGTGTTACTAGTAGGTATAGTCTAGATTATTCCTTTAGTACCCGGCCTTCTTAAGTGGTGGGAAGTGGCCATGATAGTTGAGTGTGTAACCACCAGCTGCTGTTCTGATCCGCAGAGAGAGACCTTGTGTGTGTGGAATAAAACTGTGCTCCTGAGATGTTTCAGTAGTGGGCTTCTCAGAAGTTGGTCACGAGGCCCTTGTTCTGAGGTTCCTCAGTGGACTCAGACCTACTCCCCTTCAGTTAATAGCTCAATAGGTATTCACATCACCAGGACTTTCCTGTTGAAATTTTTCAAGGGCGTGGGGTTTTTTTCCTTTTTCAATAAGGTACATTTTGGGTTATTGTAGGTGCTGAAAAGACCAATCCATTTTATCATTCTTCTGGTGGATTAGAGCTATATGGAGATCCAAGACATAATGCATATCGAGCACAATCAGAGCTGGACTATCCCAGGTCTCCTCTACCGTTTCAAAATAGGTAAGAATTTGATGACTGTTACCTTGAGTAGTTAACTGGATTAACAGAGAAAGATGGGATTGTGAGGGCGTTAACATCTTTGCCTTGAGCTCCCTCGCTCCCCCTGACTGCCATCCATTTGGTTTTGACTCATAGCGACCCGATAGGGCAGAGTAGAACTGCCCCAGGGGATTCCAAGACTGTAACTCTTTTTTTTCTCATTTAACAAGTTAAATGACAACACCTAAGACTGTAACTCTTTATGGGAGTAAAAAGCCTCGTCTTTCTCCTGAGGAAAGACTTGATAGTTTCAAACTGCTGACCTCCTGGTTAGCAGTCTGAGATAGCTGCTCGTGGTTGTGGTTAGGTGCTATCAAGTTAGTTCCAACCCACAGTGACCCAGTGTTCAACAGAATGAAACCCGCATAGACAACGTCTTCATAATTTACACAATCTGTGGCACAACTAAAACTAGTGTTTACATTTATAACTGGTTTCAAGGGCATAGAAAGCAGCTGGCCAATGAGCCAACAAAGTATTAAATGCTGTGATTAGACAATGGGAAACATAGTAGCTGACATTAATAGTCTCTGGCCATTAGGAAAACTCATTGACGTCTATATGACAAGACATACTCAACATCTATTGAGGTTTTTGCAATACTAAGCATTCTCAGGCTTAATTAGTAGCTTCTTTGAATTCCTTTTTTCTTTTTGACATCCCAAACTCAGTATCATAGCGCATATAGTTTAGGCATAAGGGGGCTTGAGGGTTTCCGTTTCAGAGGCTGGGGGCAGGGGCAGGCGGTAACTGATAAATTATTCTTGGTGATGTGACCTCATGTGCATGTTTTAACCCTATAGGTACCCAGGCCTTCCTGCTGATTTAAACCCAGGCTCCCTAGCATGTTCTCAGCTTCAGAATTATGATCCTGACAGAGCCCTGACAGATTACATCACTCGGCTGGAGGCGCTGCAGAGACGACTGGGCACTGTGCAATCAGGTGCGCGCTCCCTTGAACCAGTGCTGGACCCAGAACCCTCCTTTCACCCTGGGAAAAGCCTTGGTACTCCTGGTTAGGGTAATCACACCTTCCAGTCCAGTGCTGGAGTTGCCAGGTTACACACCACCTCCTCACCCCCAAGGTGAAACTCCATGTAACAAGCGGAAAAACTATCAAATAAACTAGTCAGACTGGTATGAGTAGTTGTCTAGTGTAAGGAATTCTGAGACATGATTGATCACCCCAGATTCCCCAAGCAGACAGGCTAGAGACCAGGGAGGCAGACA